ACTCTGAACTCATAGCGAAAACAAGGATTTCGTCGCCAAAACCTTTATTAGAGATGAGGGAATCTGGCCACTCGGTTAGACACTTCGTTCCTGGAACTTAAATCTACTTATGCCAATATTTATTTTTATTTGAGACTATCTCTTTGTACTAGTCTCTGGGAGGAACTATTGTCGTTTCATCAGTACGCAGCTATCTTTAGAACTCACTTTACTAAAAGACCGCTTGAGAAGACACTCACTCCCCTTTTACCCATACTAATCAAATCTCATCACTGCACCAATTCCGCCTCTAGCCATAACAATTCGGTACCTCCCTAATCAATAAGCAAAAATTCAATTACACAATGGTTCAAGCAGCAAGGTAGTCTAAAGGACACCTCCGAGGATCTTGCTACTCAGTGGCTAAATATATTTTACTCTCTAGCCACGCCTATATTTTTTATCTAATCCACTTGTATATAGGAGTGTTCAGAGCATCGATCATTTTCTATTAAGACGTCGGAACCGTATGTTGTAAAAATCTGAAGAATCATGCATACAAAACGCTAAATAGTCCGATATTAGATAAATACAGGCAAATATTCCTTAACTAGAATTATTTCTCAAGAAAAGTATAACATTTAAATATAAATTCGTTAATAAGCTGGAAAAATTCTAGCTGGCACAAGATTATTTTTTAAACACAGAAAAATAGCTTAAGAAGATTTAGAATAAACATACCCCCAAATAGGCCAAAGGATACCACCAGCAATTGAATGCTTGTCGTATAGGCACTTGCCAATAAAGCTGCTGTCGAAATTATCGCGCCAGCCATGACAACAGGTCGAAAGTCGAATTGGTTGCTCAAGGCACTGGCCAACGGCCCTATATGAAAGTAAACGATGCAGAAAATTAAAAAATATTTGCTCCTGAGAAAACTAATTCAATAATAAAGTAATTAACATCAAAGTCAAAGATAGTTAAATTTTTCATGAAGTTAGCATAGCTGAAATCCTTAAAATAATAAAATATAAACATAATATATTTGTCAGAATCCCAGCATGCAGAAGCTTCATAAATGCAGCTAATCCCAAACCCTGATGCTGATGCGTCTTGATCTGTCATAAATATTCAATGAAAAAATAATAATGATTTGACTGTGACCGAATAATGGAGTCAATTGCAGAGCGTAATTCAAAAACAATTGTCTTTTAAATGATAGTATTAAAAATGCTTAGCCAGAGAACTTTTTGCTGGGTATTAGCTGAAGCAGCCTCAATAAGCTAAAAGCAATGGCTTTTTAATGATTACCATTCTTATTCATCACAGCATATTAAATGTGTAAAGGGCCCAGTCAAGCTTGAAAGATATAATTTGAGGCTGGTTCAAAATTGCGTCTATGTGACATGCTCTAGCTGGCAATCAAGTAACCTGTATAATTGTTGTGAAATGAATTTTAATAAAGGAGAAAGAGAGATTAAATATGCATTCCTACAACAAATAAGGCCCGTATTAAATGATGGATGCTCTATATAAGTGAATATTAATGCTGGTCATCAAATTCAGTAAGCCGAGCTAATGTAAAATATCAGAACTAAGGAAAAAAATTAATGAAAAATGCAGGTGTTTGCTCTCGCCTAAAATGAAGCATAGTTTGCCACAAGTATCTAGTATGGTATATCAAGATCATAAATGAATATATATATATATATATATGATACATAGCAATTAACTTGGCATTCAACATATCTCTCACCAAGAAAAAGACAAGATCCCATCAACAGGGATCCTGGCATAAGAAGAATAGCCCTTCTGTGCTCCATCATTGAGTCGCCTGCTTCCGTAATCGGAACGCAGCTATATGTCGGGTCCACCAAAAATCCCGTGTTGACATTGGCTTGCCGATCTTCAGTAATTGTACCGCGTATAATCCTCTCGGCAACCAATTTTTCACTACTATCAGCACTAGTGGCATTATTAATTAGCAAGCTACTCCTAGCTCTGCGCAAGAGCAAAGCAATTCCTTCCCCTCCGTGCATATCTATAAGATTCATATCTGACAACTGAAGAAGTCCACTAATGTCATCTGACATAGAAAGTGACCCTTTTGGATCACTTGGAGATTGTGGAAAAGGTGGATGAGCGCGAAGGCTTCCCTCCGCACTGTCACCGCTAGCGCCGCCGTTCCCACCTTTGAAATTGCTGATGGAAAAGGGACAAGTTGGTCGAAGGAGTAGGCCAAAGGAACAAGAAATTCCATCAACCAAGACAAGGCAGCAGAATGAGCCCAGTACTACGAGCCATCCCCATCCACCATCTGGACCAACCAAATGAGGCAAACTGTCGTGTGTAAGATCACCACCATCAGCCTCCTCTTCGGCATTAGTGTGACCTCCGCCATTGACATTGTCGGCTTCGATATCAACATCCAAGGATGGCTCAAGTTTGTCGCCCATCTCAGGGTCGTGGACGACTTCAATAGGCACTCGAGCACTTCGACAAGACCGCATGGCACTATATGAATGGTAGAAAGAAAAGAGCAGATGTGACTAAGAGCTAGCTATGTTCAATGGATGAAAGAGTAAGATTGACAAGGAGAAAGTGGCTCGCGGGAATTGGATAACACCAGCCGCCATAGAAGAGAGATTAAGTTTTTGAACAGAACGTCTTGACCTATTAAGAGTCATTATGATAAAAGAAAAAAGTTTTAGGGATTATGGGAATAGACAAAATGTTAGGTATATAGCTGTAGTGACTTATACCTACACTTTTCCCATTCAATGTTTAGTTTTGCTACATCGTGTAACTCAGTTTTGGAGGCAGTGATCACGGGAGTGTCAGAATAATCTTCACTCCTTATTTCGCGTCGACCAAGCAAAGCTTGACACGATATCGTCCAATTAGAAGTTGACATGGATAGCTACGCAATGGTATCTCAATTAGCTAACATCGTGTTTAGGTAGGTCACGCTTTATTCCACTTTCTCTCTTGAGCTGTGACCTGCAGGGTTCAGACTTTTCTATTTCGCACCACCTTTGAGTGATTGTCATTCTACTGACAGCTTCTCATACTGAATTCAGCAGTTTATAAATAGGGCACTTGATAATACTATTTTCCCTTTTCTCTCTTCTTTCTGGAGCCTCCGATTTTGGAGTTGTAGAGTGCGAGCGATTTTTATTTTATAGAAAGTCCACGTCCTCTTCGAAACATTAAATATCTAACCAAAAATCTTAGTCTTTATTCATTATACTCATTTGCTAGTGTGGGTTTTGATTGAGTGATACAAGGCCTGATTCTACGATGGCAGGAGCATAATGAAGAAGTACTCAACAAAAGTGATGATCATACAAATGTAGATAACTTGATCAAGATGTTGTGGCCTCTATTTTGGTTGTAGTCTCCTTTCGATGTATGATAATTGTTTGACCTTGTTTTCGCAACTTGGTCATATTGGCAGGCGTCCGGAGCCCACAGTACGCATGATAATATCCAGAGTCGGACAGTGGAGTTAGTACATTCCCAGACATTTTGGCGGCATCTCAGCACCAAACTACAACTCATCAAAGAGACAAGTGAAGTAAATTCTCTGACCAACTTTCTGCCGAAACAGTTGTGCTATTTATCCATTACCTTGCTCCCCC